TATATATATATATATATATATATATATAAATTGAAAATATTATATTTATAACCATTTGAATAAATATTTGAAGTTAATCAAGGGAATGTTTTAAGTAGATTTATATAATAAAAAATTGATTATAAGCTTTATGTTCACAAACATATATGAAACAATTTATTTGATTGGAGGAAAAATGACACAATCTAGTAAAATTAATAATATTAATGATAATAATTATAATAATTTTTAATTAGAAACACTCATTTTTAGTTAGTCGAGTGATTTAAGAATTGTATTTTTAAATTATATGATTGAAGTATATTGATAAATTATGTATGAGTTTTACAAAGTATAAATTAAAAATTTATTTTAAATATATGCATGGGATATAATCATTAAATAAAATGATAATAAAATTAAAGGTAATAATACGTTTTTTAATAACAATAATTAATTTATAAATTTGAGTCACACTGAAACATGATAATAGTGTCAGAATTTTATTTGTATTAAGTAATTAATAAATATAGTAATAATTAATTAATAATTATATATTAATAATTAATTTGTAATTAAAAGACTCATTTTTTAATATGTCAATTTTCAGAATGTTAAATCAATAAAAAATATTGACTACTATGTAATCGTTAACAAAATTTCTTCTTTTTTAGGTAATTGTAAACTTTTTAAAAATAATTTAATCTAAGATTCATTTTCAAGTGATTGAAGTTGAGTGGAAATCAGTAATGTGTAGATTTATTTTATTTATATATAATTATTCAATCTCTTTTACTAAAAAAAAAAATTAATATTGTAACAACCTGACAGGTCTTACACACACCACTGAACACCGGAAACACTAGGCAGAAAGAACAAGTATATAAATATAGGTTCTAGAATATAAATATATACAAAGTCCTACTCCGACTAGGGTTAGAGTGCCAAAACAACAATACCAAACAAGATACAACGCCAACCGCTACACCTAGTAGCCACTACAACAAAACACCAATCAAACATAGCCAACTCCGCCTACCAGCTGCCTACTCACCACGAACCAAACACCTATTCCTGTTATGCTCCCGTACATAGTACGATCATACCAGTCCAACCACAAGGAAACAGAAAAGGGTAAGCTAGTATAGAAAGAAACAACGTATAACAAAATTCAAGTAATTAGAACAACTTCAACCGCCAATACAACAACATTCTACTATCTATCAATTTATACAACCAACCAACAATTGGATATAAATGCGTCGTCACGCATATCACCTCGGAGATCTCCTACAACAACTCAGCCGCTTTGGCCTACAACAACTCAGCCATTAAGGCCTACAACAACTCAGCCATTTAGGCCTACAACAACTCAACCATTTAGGCCTACAACAATCCATATCAACATTCAATACAACCCAACTTTTGCTACTCAACATATCAACTTGCAACACAACACAGCGGTACAACTCAACATCAACTTTCAACACAACTTAGCTTTACAACTCAACATGTCAACTTGCAGCACAACACAAATATACAACACAACATCAATCAACCAACATCATCCATTAGTCATCACATTATATTCATCTATTTCAACTCAACTAAGTATAAAACAACATCAACCAACATATAAAGATTTCTCATCTCCGCGCCCGGCGCACTCATGGTTACGCCCAGCGCGATACAACCAGAGAGCACCAGGGGGCCAGCACGCCCAGCGCAAGCATGCTCGCGCTCAGCGGGACTCAACCAGAGAGAGCACAAGGCTCTCTCGCGCTTGGCGCAATATCCATTGCGCCCAGCGCAGGCCAGGCAGAGACATCAAGGAGTCTCCCACGCCCGACGTACCTAACCCAGCGCTCAGCGCGGGGTAGGAAGAGACCACCCCTTGGTCTCGCGCCCAGCGCAATTCGGAATTGCGCCTAGCGCCCATGAGGCTGAGACTCCCAAGGAGTCTCACGCCCAATGCGATAAGGGCCGCGCTTAGCGCAGCCTCTGGAGCCCAACAACAAGTTACAATGGGTATCGCGCTTAGCGCAGTCCAAGTCGGGCCCAGCAAGGGCCAACGCTAGAATGGCCCCGACCGCATGACCTCACCACTCTACGCGCTTTTCTCGGCCTCACCGGCTTCTATAGGCGTTTTATTCGCCATTATGCAACTATTGCAGCGCCTCTCACGGATTTGTTACGTTCTTCTTTCTCTTGGAATACACATACAGATAAAGCTTTTATTGCATTACAACAGGCCATTGCCCACTCCCCAGTTCTAACCCTACCCAACTTTGATGCCCCTTTTGACTTTCTCCAAGACCCATCCTTTTTTTTAACGAGAATGACAGGGGAAGAATAGGGGCTGCAACTGGGTTTAATGATACCAACGTGCAACATCTCTGAAATTATAGATGACATAGCTTCCTTGTGAGCATGAGGGTAACGGTAAGGCTTCAGGTTGATAGGGGTAGCATTAGGTAAGAGGGGAATATGATGATTATGGGGTCGGTCAGGAGGGAGACCCGTGGGGGTAGTAAAGACATGGGCGAAGGTTTGAAGTAGGTGATGAAAATTAGGAAGAGGGTGGGTGATAGTAAAAGTCTCGGACTGTGTAGAGGACGTATGGTGATCAATTGGTTGAAAGGATAAAAGGTGAAAAGAAGCTATGGAATGGGTGTGGAGGAGATGGCAAAGCCGCTGGTAAGTAGCGGGGGTAGGGGTGAATTTAGTGTCTCCACGAAGTGTAATGGTGGTATCAGATAGGGTAAAAGACATACTGGGGACGGAAAAGTCGGAAATAATTGGGCCTAAGGTACGCAGCCACTCAATACCCAAGACGACATCAGCCCCTTGAATGGGTAGAAGGTAAAAGGGTATGGTGAAGGAGTGTGAATGTAAGGATAAGGGAACCTGAGAGCATAACCCAGCACAATAGATATGAGAACCATTACCAACCATAACTGGAAATTGAGGGGTGGGTGTGATAGGTAGGTGAAGGTGTTAGGTACGAAAACTTTGTTATTGAACATGAGGAGGCCTTGCTGAAAATGAAAGTGACTCCTTGCATTTGTGTCTGAGGTGCATTTGTCCACAAGAGCAATGCCAACGGGATCAGAACTATAATAACTCCGAAGAGTATCAAGAATGTGTGGCACCGGTGACGTAAGAGCTGTGAAGGTGAGTGGTGCGTCCGAGTGACAACGGGAAAGAGCATCTGCAACGACATTTTCACGGCCTGGACGATATAGGATATCGAAGGTATACCCTTGCAACTTAATCATCCAATTATGTTGTTCTTGCGTTTGCACTGCCTGAGTTAAAAGATATTTGAGACTTTTTTGATCTGTAATGATTCTGAAGGGCTTGCCTAATAGGTATTGTCTCCATTTTTTTACAGATTCCGTAATGGCAAACATCTCCCGGACATAAACCGAGGCAGCCTGCATACGGGGGCATAGCTTTTTGCTGAAGAAGGCTATGGGGTGGCCGGACTGGGAAAGTACTGCACCAATAGCTATGGAGGATGCATCAGTTTCTAAGTCAAAAGGGGCATCAAAGTTGGGTAGGGTTAGAACTGGGGAGTGGGCAATGGCCTGTTGTAATGCAATAAAAGCTTTATCTGTATGTGTATTCCAAGAGAAAGAAGAACGTAACAGATCCGTGAGAGGCGCTGCAATAGTTGCATAATGGCGAATAAAACGCCTATAGAAGCCGGTGAGGCCGAGAAAAGCGCGTAGAGTGGTGAGGTCACGCGGTCGGGGCCATTCTAGGATGGCTCGGATCTTCTCAGGGTCCGGCTGGACTCCTTGGGCTGAAATGAGGTGCCCTAAATAAGCCATGGATTTTTCTGCAAAAACACATTTAGAGTACTTGGCAAAGAATTGATTAGTAGTTAATAACTCTAAAACCGACTTAAGGTGAATTAAGTGGTCTTCCAAATTAGAGCTAAAAACTAATATATCATCAAAGAAAACTAGAACAAATTTGCGCAAGTAAGGTCGAAATAAATCATTCATGGCTGCCTGAAAGGAAGAGGGAGCATTTGTAAGTCTGAAAGGCATGACTAAAAATTCGTAATGACCATCGAAAGTTCTGAAGGCTGTTTTGTGAGTGTCTGGGGGGTGGACTCTTATTTGATGATAGCCAGAGCGTAGGTCGATCTTAGAAAAAATCGAAGCATGACCGAGTTCATCCAACAACTCATCGATAGTGGGAATAGGAAATTTGTCCTTGATCGTGATAGCATTTAGAGCCCGATAATCCACACAAAATCTCCAAGACCCATCCTTTTTTTTAACGAGAATGACAGGGGAAGAATAGGGGCTGCAACTGGGTTTAATGATACCAACGTGCAACATCTCTGAAATTATAGATGACATAGCTTCCTTGTGAGCATGAGGGTAACGGTAAGGCTTCAGGTTGATAGGGGTAGCATTAGGTAAGAGGGGAATATGATGATTATGGGGCCGGTCAGGAGGGAGACCCGTGGGGGTAGTAAAGACATGGGCGAAGGTTTGAAGTAGGTGATGAAAATTAGGAAGAGGGTGGGTGATAGTAAAAGTCTCGGACTGTGTAGAGGACATATGGTGATCAATTGGTTGAAAGGATAAAAGGTGAAAAGAAGCTATGGAATGGGTGTGGAGGAGATGGCAAAGCTGCTGGTAAGTAGCGGGGGTAGGGGTGAATTTAGTGTCTCCACGAAGTGTAATGGTGGTATCAGATAGGGTAAAAGACATACTGGGGACGGAAAAGTCGGAAATAATTGGGCCTAAGGTACGCAGCCACTCAATACCCAAGACGACATCAGCCCCTTGAATGGGTAGAAGGTAAAAGGGTATGGTGAAGGAGTGTGAATGTAAGGATAAGGGAACCTGAGAGCATAACCCAGCACAATAGATATGAGAACCATTACCAACCATAACTGGAAATTGAGGGGTGGGTGTGATAGGTAGGTGAAGGTGTTGAGCAATGCGTGGTTGAAGAATGTTATGTGAGCTGCCCGTGTCAATAAGGACAGAAACTGGTAGACCCAATATAGAACCCTTAAAACGAAGGGTCTGAGGGGAAGGTAATCCGGAAATGGCCTGAGAACTTAATTGGAAAAGGACAGCGGGTGAAGTATTTGGGTCAAGGTCTATAGGTGGGGTGTCAGTGGAGTCTATAAGTGGGGAATCAGCGGAGGAGGGAATATCAGGGGGGTGAAGATCGGAAGGGTTGGGATCTTCCGAATGGTCATCAGTCATAAGGAGAAGGAATTTAGGGTTTTGGAATTTGTGGCCAGGGTGGTATTTTGCATCACAGTTATAACACAAACCTTGGGTACGTCTTTCTTGTATTTGGGTTGGAGAGAGGCGTTTGATAGGTAAGGGAGGAGGGTTAGGAGATGGTAGTGCTGGGGAAAGTGGAGGTAAACGGGTGAAGGAGGCTTTGAGCTTCGCATCCTTAATTTTGGCTTCAATAAGTTTGGCTAAACCAATGGCTTGGGAAATAGATGTAGGTTTGAGAATGGCTAGCTCACGTCGTATTTCCGGTAACAACCCAGAAAAAAAACAATCAACAAGAGCATCTGGGGGAAGGCCAAAAACCCTAGTTGAAATCTTCTCAAAACGCTGTTGATATTCAATGACTGTAGTGTGTTGACGAAGTTTGAAAAGCTCAGCCCGGAAATTTTCAAACTCTGTAGGGCCAAAACGCAACTCCAATGCTCTTTCAAATGAGAACCAATCCGTAAGTTGATGGTTATGGACCATCCATTTAAACCAGGTCAAGGCATCGCCTTTCATGTAGAAAGCCACCATGGGTAAGCGATGATCAGGTGGAATATGGTGAAAAGAAAAAAACTGGTCAGCTTGAAATAACCAATCAAGGGGTTCGGAGCCATCAAAGGGAAAAAGTTGTAATTTCGGTGGACGAATGGGTGTAGTAGTAATAGGTGAGGAAGGGTGACGGCCAGCATGAGGTAGGGGTGGAGGGTTTAAGGTGGAAAAATTATTAGGAGAAAAAGTAGGAAAGGGGTGAACGGTAGGTGAGGAAGTGGGATTGTGAAGGACAGATCCATCAGGGGTAGGCTGGGGATGTGGGAGAGGAGTTGGGTGAGGTGAAACGTCAATGGTGGAGGGGGAAGGCTGGAGGGTGGCTAATTTTTCAACAACGGTAGTAAGAATGGTATTGATAGAGTCATACCTAGCATCCATTAAGGATTGAAAGTTCTCAAATCGAGTGTCTTGCTGCTGTTGGAGTCAATGCTAAACTCCATCTCCCTAGCAGGAGGCAACCCAGTTAATTCATCCGGAAACACCTCAGCAAAATCTCGCACCACCTCAATTTCAGAAATAGCCCATTCGGTCTCAACACTTAACGCCGCAAGCAGAAGACAACACTCTGCCCCACCTCTCAACAATGATTCAACTTGGCTAGCTGAAACCAACAACTCATCCTCCTCCTGAGGAAAGATCAACCGCCTATTGGCACAATCTATAAGGATACGATTGGCAGATAACCAATCCATCCCCAAGATTATGTCCCTATCAACTAAAGGCAAACAAAGCAAGTTTACCTTATACCCCCGCCCATACACATCGATAGGGCAACCAACACACAACTCAGAAACAACTACTGAAGCAGACGCGGGCGTCGACACTAGCAGTCTCAGTCCCAAATCACACACAGGTACATCCAGCATAACAACACAAGCATAAGAGATAAAGGAGTGGGAAGCTCCAGAATCAAACAAAAATACCACATCCTTACCAGCAGCTCTGCCCTTTCCCTTCACCAGGTTCGAAGAAGTTGAAGCCTCAGCACCGGTCAAAGCAAAGACCCTACCAGCTGTGGTGGGTCTGCCACCCCTCTGAGCACCTCCTCTTTGAGTATCACTCCTCTCTGGTCTGGTCTTGGTGGGGCAGTTGGAAGATACATGGCCCATCTGTTGGCATCTGAAACACCGATTCTCTGTGTGGGGACAATCCCTGATCATATGTGACCCACCACACCTGTAACATCTCAGGGCAACACCTCCACCCTGTCCTCCACCACCAGCAGCACCAGCAAGTTGCCTGATGACAGGACCCCCTTGATGTGGTTGGGGCCTATCATATGGCTTCCTCTCACTCCCTCCTTTCTTGGACCCGGATGGCCCCTCAGCAGCCTTCACCCCGCGATTACCACCTTCCAACCGCTCAACCACCTTCGCCTTCTCCACCAAGGCTAGAAATTTAGTGATGGCCATAGGCACCACCACTCTCCTCAGATCATATTTCAATCCCTCTGCAAACTTCCGACACTTCCAAGCCTCGACAATGCCTTGCGAATAAAAACGAGCTAGGTGCTCAAACTTCATTGCATAATCAGAAACGGTCATCCCTCCTTGGTGCAAGCGCATGAACTCAGCTTCCTTGGCATGTCTTACACTCTCAGGGAAATACTTCTCCAAGAACATCCTTCTGAAGCACTCCCAGTCCACAACCACCCCTCTGGAAGTCAGCATATGATGGGTACCCCTCCACCAATGCTCGGCTTCTCCAACAAGCATGTACATCGCGTATGCTAGCCTCCCCTCTTGAGAACATCCCAACACGGTGAAGATCTTCTCAAGCTCGCAAATCCAGTGGTCAGCTACCTCTGGATCTGCCTCTCCCTTGAACTGAGAAGGATGGCACTTCCGGAACTCGGCCAGGTCCCGGCTCTCCTGCGACCCAGTGGGCCTTGCTGCACCAGCTGTAGTTCTCTCCGCCTCCATCCTAGCAAAATAGGCATTTTGCTGTTGCATAGCCATGACCATCATCTCCATGGCCCTGGCTATCTGTTCATTGGCTTTAGACATTGTCTACAAAAGCAACAACACCTTTAGCAACAATATCTAAACCAAACAACAATTCAACGACACAACAAAACACCACAACAATCAACACAGCAATCCACACATCAAGGCATCACAACTCAGAGTTAACACAACAAAAGCCTAAGGGAACCACCCCCAAAGAGTGTCCACTAGACTCGAACTGCTCTGATACCACTAAAGTGTAACGACCCGACAGGTCCTACACGCGCCACTGAACACCGGAAACACTAGGCAGAAAGAACAAGTATATAAATATAGGTTCTAGAATATAATTATATACAAAGTCCTACTCCGACTAGGGTTAGAGTGCCAAAACAACAATACCAAACAAGATACAACGCCAACCGCTACACCTAGTAGCCACTACAACAAAACACCAATCAAACATAGCCAGCTCCGCCTACCAGCTGCCTACTCACCACGAACCAAACACCTATTCCTGTTCTGCTCCCATACATAGTACGATCATAGCAGTCCAACCACAAGGAAACAGAAAAGGGTAAGCTAGTATAGAAAGAAACAACATATAACAAAATTCAAGTAATTAGAACAACTTCAACCCCCAATACAACAACATTCTACTATCCATCAATTTATACAACCAACCAGCAATTGGATATAAATGCGTCATCACGCATATCACCTCGGTGATCTCCTACAACAACTCAGCCGCTTTGGCCTACAAAAACTCAGCCATTAAGGCCTACAACAACTCAGCCATTTAGGCCTACAACAACTCAGCCATTTAGGTCTACAACAACTCAGCCATTTAGGCCTACAACAATCCATATCAACATTCAATACAACCCAACTTTTGCTACTCAACATATCAACTT